CGACCTGTACTACTTGGCCCTACCCCACCACCTTGGTTCAGCATTGCGATCCCCGACCAAATACGCAAGACAAGTTTTGGATGGATTCAATATTGCAAGGTCAAGAATACTCCGTATTGTGGGACCCCCCAAAAAGTGGTCGCAGTAACACACAGATCGGGTAGTTGCACCCTCCATGTTTTCCCTTTCGAACATGCTTCGGATTCGGGCAGGGCAGAAGCCAACTCTCTTTACAACCCGCTTTGGGTTCTTGTAAAAACTTGCGTGGACTAGAAACCAGATATTGCGCTCCGGTACATCATCAGATTTATCACAGCAGTAAACATCTAGCTAGTCAGCTTGCAGACAGAATTAAAGACCGCGAGTAGGTTTCAGTACAAAGGAAACCCCTACATGACCTCAAAATTCTCAAATCGTACACCCTAAAGCTTCCAAACCCCAATCCTATAGCCTCGGCCCCAAAACCCCAAATCCCCAAACTCTAAACCCCCAACCCCCAAACCCTGAACACTTGAAGCGCAAACAAGTTTACTGCCCCTTACTTCAGGCCTTGAGGGAGATACTGCTGAGGTCCTTCCCGGTGAGGTAGGCGTGGACTTCCTGGTTGAACGACTCTGTGTTTTCGGGGTCGTTTTAAGCAGGGATTATATACGTTGCGAAACTTGCATCCAGGCTCGATTGTTAGGATCTATAGGGAGTAACGTTTGAAGTCTCTCGACAGACGGTGGCGAAGGGCTCTGAAGAGATCATGTTGGGGTAGGGGGTGGGAGGGCACATCCAAGGACTATCAGAAGGCGAAACACTTATCATACGGGGATTGTTTTGACTTCCAGAAATATGTAGCCCGATAGATTCCTGGTTTGTGGATAACTTAAACCGTAAACAAAAACTACCTGGTTTGTAGATAACCTCCATCCATATAGCGGATGAGGAACAGTAATCCACTGTATGTTAATTGGCTTCCGTCCAAAAATGAGGGAATCAAATATACGCCTCAAAAAGTTAAGAAATGCATTATGGCGGGGGTCCCCCAAAAGGGACCACTATTTTTTGGGGGTTGGATTTTGTCATATAATAGGTGATCGAGCCTTGCCCTAAACAAACATGAAACACTCCGAAGAGCCCTTCAACTTTAAAGACTGCTCCAAGGTTGTTTGGTGAAAGAGGGTAGCTTCCTGCATCCTTGTCTGGCACTCAACAACGGAAAAGGCTAGGTGTCGTACTTCTGCGAGAAGGACAAGAATGGGTGCAGCTTGCATCCTAAGATATTCCAATGTGGGCCCAGCGCTTCTGCAGCAGCACCTAACCCTAAATTCGAAGCCGACCGCGAACTTCTGAATGCCAATCTAAACCCTCAATCATCTTTGAAATCCAAAACGGCGAACTTTGAATTTCGAGCCCCAAAACTCAGAACCCTAGACTCCAATTCCCTGATCCTCTTCTTGCGTGTTGTCCTGCATGAGCTCCCGCGCTACTGGTGGAATTCATGTAGAGTGCCCCATATCATTTTTGGAGGGTATCCTTGCGGCGTATCTTTTTTAAGTGGGCCCCATATCTTTGTGCAGGTTGAAGCCTTTCAACCCAAGCACAATCAACTCTACGTTAGGTTTCTCCCCGTCTCACATGTTTACAGGGCATGTGCCAAAAAAGGTGGCACATCCAGGGTCCTAAGCAAAGCTGCAAATGGTAAACCTTAAATTCTTAAGTCCTTAAACCATGGGACTCTAAATGCTGAACCCGAAAATAAATCCCTAAGCCCTGTATGCTAATCTCCATATCCAACTTCGGCAGCTCGGTTGGGTTCCTGGGTTAGAAGATGTTTATACAGGGACTAGGCGCAATCCTAAATCCCCGCCTGCCCCAACTCCCCCCCCAAACCACCCCCTTTAATTCTGAATCCTGAACAATCTTAACCCCCAAGCACTGAGCCCTTAACAAGCCTAACCCCCAAACCCTCATCAACGCCGAAAAAGCCCAAAGCCTAACCCTGAACAACCCTAAAACCTAAACCCTGAACAACCACCCTAAACCCCAAATCCCTCAATCCTGTGTATAACGCCCAGAGCCCCGGGCCTTCTTCAGCTCCTCAGGAGTCGGTTGGCGTGGTCCCGACTTCTTGGGTGAAGGCGAATCCTGCCCATCTAGGTTCAGGGTTGAAACCTGAAAGTCAGGCTGAGGGGCTCACGGTTTAAGATTTATAGTCCCCCTTTAGTATATAGAATATGGGGTATGTGGAGACCTTATTATACTATACCCAAAGCCATATTCTGTCTACTTAAGGGGGACTATAGGGGGTAAGGATTCACGGCTTCAAGGCTAGGCTGGTGATTCGGGCTTAATTAACCCAAAGGCGATGACCGTCAAAGGGTTTAGGGTTTAGGGTCCTCAATGTCGACGATCTCGGCCATTGCAGGATCGGAGAGAACCTGCTTGAATGCAATCGCAAAGTCTTACGAATGCTTTACGGGAAGTGATGATAGGGACTCTTCTAGCCAAAAGCATGGCATTGCTATAGGGATCCAGTCCCCCACTGCTGTATTGCCCCTATGTTACCCTTATATAACCCTTACATAACCCTGTATTACCCCTATATAAACCGATATTACCCCTATATAACCCTATCTCCTCCTTAAGCACCATCAAAAAGGTTTGCAGAGTTGCAAGCTGTGAAGATGAAACCGCTCTTAGTTCCTGTCAGCATGGGAAGCTTGCTAAATGGTAGTTTCCCGAAATA